GGATCTCAAAAACTTCCGATTCGATTTGGATGGGGTTTCCGGTATATAAATGCGTATTTATCAGGGAAGAGTTTTCTTATATAATATACTAGTAGTGTTCCACGATTTCACTCGCATAGATTGGATGAGCGCGCGTCAGCTCAACTAATGAAATAAACGACTCATCAACTAATGATGACTATAACTGATGAGTAGTGATAATGATCAATTCTACGAACTAACAACTACATAAACATTAATTATTCGAATCGATACCGACAACTCTTATGAACTAGATATATTATCAATATATTAATTTCTTTTATGATTAAAATAAACAATAGATATTTAAATTTAGATGCAACAAAGCGTAATTTCTATGATGTTGGCCAGAATATATTAGTTTGCGTATTCCATAACATTTTTATCTTCTGCCATAATTTACGAGCGAAGCATAAAGTTTTAGGCAATATCTCCGTAGAGATACTACAGAAATTGCTTAGTTCCATAAATTATATATGATAGAAACATATGATTGTACTTCTAATGTTATAGTGAATTTTTACCAAACTACAATTATAATCTGTATTATCTAACCTAACGTATAGCTAGTTAAGGTATTAAGTTAAAGAAAAGATTACGTACATACATACATAACTTGTGCGGGGGACATCATGAATTTTTTGAAAAGGATTGTATACATCAGCCAAACACCTACGTGAGTGGGTAAGTGTTAATTTGTAGTAAATACACCTAATTTCAAATAAAAACACAGATCTTGATTACCGTTGTCTATTGGTGTGAAGGGTTAAAAAAACATAAGTCACTTAATGTGGAAGTAATATTTTTTATATCCATGAATGTCTTCACCACTGGGTTATAGGATTTTGTGATGGATTTAATAAATATTAGCTGTATTCTATCTGTGCTTTTGTATTTTAGTCAAAACCATGTCTAATATTTCACTTGCCATAAGAAAATTTCATAATTTTAGTTTTAATTAATGAAACTTAAATTAAATTTACAGGCAATTTCGAAGTTTCAAAAGTGAAAGTCTTCTGATATTATGATGAGTAAATCAGAGTATGAAACAAGTAAAAAGAGAGCAGCAAAGTTTTGAGTATGGAAACAAAAAATATAATTGAGCAATATAATACATCTTGTTGATTACTAATACATTCATGATCAGATTTATACCTAGGCTCGTAGGTGGAGAAAACAGAAGCACTACCCCCAAAGACTAATCGTTCGTTGTCGTCATCAATTGCGTTTTTTATTCACTTCCATTTAAGAAGAGTATATAAACTTGTAAAAATAAGGTTATGGGCCACACAATTTGATTTAGAAAGATTGCTTTGTGCCGACGAAAATATATATTCTAGCAGCTACGTAATCCACTAGTGGTTATAAATCTATTTTAAAAGGCACTTTGCGTGTTTATTTTTTAAGTGCCTGTATATGTTTTCGTCCGAAAACTAAGCAACAGTAATACCAGAAATTCACTTTGATTCATTTAGTTTTATCAGTAACTGTTACTTTTTAAATATCATGATTCAAAACATTTGATTGCCATCTTAAATTTAGTTTGTATTTGGTGTTGTAATGTTATTATCAAAGGTTACTACCTACTACTAGAAATAAAAAAAAACCCTTAGCACGAGCCAATATCTAATTCGAATAGTTTGCGAGTGCGAAATGTCACTGTCAAATGTATACTGATTTTTAGTTCTCCTTACGTCCTTTGTGGCACTGCTGTACAAGTTTCCATACAAAATTCAATGTCAAATTTTGTATGAAAACTTGAAACAACAAAACTGCTAAGGGTACAGGAAACCTAGTCTAATTCAACGAAAAACTAAATTTCGACTATTACTTCGCAAGTTTCTAACTATGATTCTTTTTCCTTTTTTAATTAAAATATAACGCGTTCACCCGGAAATATACTGAGATTAGGATTCCACAAGCCTATTAATAGAAAAAAAATGATAGCTTATCATTCTAATTAAGTATGACCTCAAAATGGCGAAATTAAATTTCATTTGGACTTCGTTACCGAAAGTTCCGTTTCGGAGAAAAAGAATAGACCCCGTAGGTATGTTGCTACGTTATCTGGATTCTTTACAAAAGGAGTTGGGTACTTATAACTTGTCCGTACGCTAAACTTAAACAACAATACCTACTCATACCATTAACTCTTGATACATTATCTGTAACTACTGAAAGCGCAGCTGTATAACAATTGTTTGTAGCGATTCCAGCGCTACGTTCGCTTAAAGCTCGACACATATTACGAGGCGTAATATATTTAGCGCACGAGTTCTCACTTCCTCCAATGAAAGCCGCCACTCCAAACGCGATATCGCGGTACATTATTGTAATAACACTGGAGCTTCTTTGACGGCGCAGGGGTCGTGTGTAACCTCTCATTTTCCTTACCGAAATTCAAAGGAGTTCTAACAAAGCTTTGTTTTGCATCGCTCGCTCGGGAAGCCGTTGAAAAGCTGGCTTTTTAGATAAGGCCCTCTTATAAATTTTCAGCATAGAGCTGACGTTCTGCGCTAAAGTTTTTAGTGTGGGAATGCGGACAACTGGCACGATTCTAGTTTAGTGGGGTCGCTCCCTACTATTATTTAAGGAATCGTTACACACGTTTGCTGCGATGTGGAGTAATGAATCGAATTATAATGTTGGTGTATTGAGCGAACCGTCATTTCGGTTGGGCTGCTTGCGAGCGAGTAAGTATCATAACAGAGGTTAATATTAGTTTGTGATTAAATCAAATTGTTTATCTGATTCCAGGAGAAGTCGAATGAATTAAATTTGTAGCGGAATCGTGATAATTCCATTACACATTAAGGACGTGTATATATGTATTAGTGTTTGAGAACAGGAATCTTCGGAAGGTGATGTTATTATGCCTATAAATAAACATAACTCTGTTAATAAATTTTCTGTATTACCTTGATTTGACTATTTGTTTTTTTCGGGATAAATAGTATTCCATGTCTCACAATCCGGGTCATAAACTGTGTGTGCACAAAATTTCATTTAAATCCGTTCAGTACTTTTTATGTGATTGTGTGACAAACATACAAATTTTCACCATTATAATAATATAATAGCCGCACGGCATGATAATTACTTCGCACAGCTACCGGGGCGGCCGGCTAGAGCCCTCCCCCTCACGTTGGCCCCACCCGCGCCCATCATGGGATAGCATAAATGCGTGCGTGGTACTTGAGTATTATTTCGATGTGGAGTTATTTTAAAACTATGATATCTCTTAAGATATTTATTGAAATCGACTGAAGTCAAGAATAATATTGATCGAAATTAAATACTTGTGATGAATAGTATGTTAATTTCGGTATGGAATAATTATCATATTTAGAAAATATCGTCGCAGATAATGCTTTATTTTAGAACAACTTTGATAACGAAAAAAAGGTTATAGTGATTCAACGTAAAAAGATAGACATATGATGTCGCGGATTTATTTTTTGAAACTTTTAAAGAAGAACAATTTGTTCATGCATGATTTTTGTGTTACTTTAACCATTTACGCTGCGCACGCAACGAAACCTCTGAAAAGGAAAATTTTATCCCCGTTTTTGCAACATTTTTCATTGATGACCCGCTCCTATTAGTCTTATCATTATTTTATATAGCGTTTTACATTATATAACCTTATAATTTTTATTATTTTTAAAGCATGTAACTGCTTGATGTTTAAATCTAAAGAAAATATAACTAGAAAAAATTCCACGCGGACCAGGCAGCAGACGGGACTCGAACCCGCACCCTTCGCAATCCGGGCGAATGCACTGACCAATTATGCTACCGCGGCCCTCACGGACCGCGTCGAAATTCTTTCTAGCTATTCTTAAGCGGCAAGGCAGCGCCATCTCTTCGCATTATAGGTAAAACCCACAATGTCAAATGAATACTTTTACAAGTATTAAACATTTGAAAGAAGAAATAGCAATTATAGTTATAATTTTTATTATTTTTAAAGCATGTAACTGCTTGATGTTTAAATCTAAAGAAAATATAACTAGAAAAAATTCCACGCGGTTCCATTCTAGTTATATTTTCTTTAGATTTAAACATCAAGCAGTTACATGCTTTAAAAATAATAAAAATTATAACTATAATTGCTATTTCTTCTTTCAAATGTTTAATACTTGTAAAAGTATTCATTTGACATTGTGGGTTTTACCTATAATGCGAAGAGATGGCGCTGCCTTGCCGCTTAAGAATAGCTAGAAAGAATTTCGACGCGGTCCGTGAGGGCCGCGGTAGCATAATTGGTCAGTGCATTCGCCCGGATTGCGAAGGGTGCGGGTTCGAGTCCCGTCTGCTGCCTGGTCCGCGTGGAATTTTTTCTAGTTATATTTTCTTTAGATTTAAACATCAAGCAGTTACATGCTTTAAAAATAATAAAAATTATAACTATAATTGCTATTTCTTCTTTCAAATGTTTAATACTTGTAAAAGTATTCATTTGACATTGTGGGTTTTACCTATAATGCGAAGAGATGGCGCTGCCTTGCCGCTTAAGAATAGCTAGAAAGAATTTCGACGCGGTCCGTGAGGGCCGCGGTAGCATAATTGGTCAGTGCATTCGCCCGGATTGCGAAGGGTGCGGGTTCGAGTCCTGTCTGCTGCCTGGTCCGCGTGGAATTTTTTCTAGTTATATTTTCTTTAGATTATATAACCTTTCTCGAATACCGGGTTATCTACCACATCATCATAAAAAAGATTTTTCAATTTGAATCTTTAGTTCCTGTATAGTATTAGCGCGTTCAAACAAACCAACATACAAATAAACAATTCAGCTTTATAATATGAGTATAGAAGTATTGATAATTAATACAAGTAGGTATAGTCTGGGCCATAACTATGAATATCACCCAGAACCATTACGTACAGTCTGTAACCAAGGTATAGTAAATGTCAAATTGTATCGATCGCTATAATCTTGAATGTGCATGTAACATCAATGATAATATTTGACTCACCAATAACAGCGAGCCTTATTTGGAAGTTCCTGGTGGGTGAATTTTTGAAGTCCACTCGGCAACGGTATATTCCTTCGTCATCCAGTTGTACCGTGTCGAGGGTTAGGGCGGCTGGCCTTGCCACCGTCGCGAAGTAAGCTCGAGGTCCGAACGCGTTCGGATCCGACCATTGCAGAGCCTTGTTGAACGACCGCCCACGGACGTCGAAGCTGCAAAACACAACTCTAAGTCAAAACCGCAAAGTATATTTTCCCATGAGAACACATAACAGATTCATAAACTACGAAAAATGAAACTCCTTTCGCTCCCAGCTTCTAGGTCGCGTTTGTTTTGCACCTCCTTTTATTGCCTCTCAATTGCTCGAAAGGAGGTTCTAGTTCGTGATATTTAAAAAGGGCTCTGCGGGTTTTGTGAATAATAAAAACTGTTTTTACAAAAATAAGATAAAGTCGAGATGGAAGTAAAACGGATTCGGTCAAGTCAATCACACTAATATTTTAAAGGTGAAAGTTTGTGAGTGTGTATGTTTGTTTGTTCTTCATGTCTAAACGGCTGAAGCGATTGTAATAAAAATAAATTTGGTATGGAATAAACTGATACCCTGGATTAAAGCATGGGTTACATTTTACTGCGAGAAAATATCTCTAAAAAACCGCGGGTAACACCGCGGGGCATAGCTAGTATAAAATAAAATTGGTACATTTTCAATATGATAAACAACGTAATTTCACTATTATTATCTTATATTATGTAAAATTACTTTGAATCCTTTTATAACGGGCTTGACGGTTGGATATCCGAAAAACTAAGTTGTAAGTTGTTGTAGGTAAATACACATTAGTGTTTACTCAACCCTTCTTAGGTAAGTAGCTTTCAAACATTGAAATGACATTACAGTAGGTATTTGGGCGCAAGACATGCGAAGCCCCAGAAATTGTGTGTGATAATAATATGTTGTTATAGGTCTATATCTTTCTTTTTATATAAGACGAACGAGCACTTTATAGATCGCTTCTTGATGAGTCACCATTACATAGATCGCAAGTACATACTAGACACTTATCACAATAACGCCTAGACAGTTAAATCATAAAAATAGATAAAACTAGTTTTAACGGGTTAATGCACGAAACTTTATTTATTAATTGACAGAAGAAGAAGAAGAAGTTTCGTGCATTAACCCGTTAAAACTAGTTTTATTTAATGAGTGATGTGCGTGAAAACTTAAGAAACAAACATAAAAATAGAATTAGAAAGTGGCTATAGTTTATTTAAAAAATAGAAAGCCAGCCTGAAGGACAGCTCCCGCAATATTCGCTATTAATTTTAACAACACGTGTAGCAACTAGCTAGTCGCGAATACATTCTGCTTGAAACTGCGTGAAAATCCTGTAAACTTACTATTCATGAATGCGTAACCGAAAAGACGTTTTCTCTGAGTCGACACGGGTTGGACGTAGCAGTTACTATGTACTTTGTGGTGAGAGAGTCGAAGCTTGCATATTGCCTTGCTAGAAACCGAATTCCCTACTGGATATAACACGAAAGTTTTTGTTGACTTCGAAACACAAACCCACTTGAAACATAGCTTTACAGAATATTAGGCAAAGAGTTCCACAAATGAAAAATCCGATTCATATTAAAATTGGCCTAAAGCACTATAATTATGTGACTATAGATAGGCGAAGTATAACGGTGTAATGTATGACTTGTAAATGTCCGGGGTGTTCGAAATAATAACGTTTTCTGCAGAAGTGCATAATATTTGTCACGTACATACCTAATTGTACAAGGGTTCTCATAAATCGACGAAAGAATATTTTTATTTTAACTCTGTAGATACTGAAACTAATATCTTGTTAAAAACATTATCTCAAAATTTCCATCACGGCTAATGAGGAAACATTGCTAGAAAAGCTGGTAGCTTATGAGAATAGATATTTTAAAGGCGTCAGCACCCTAATAATAGGACTTAACGAGTCCAGTGATTAATGATTGTTTTGTAAGGTCAGGCTCGAAAAGCAGTACAAGCGCGGCAGTAACCATTACACTAAAATATCTTCGAAAATATGATGTAGAAATCGTTAAACTCTAACAAAAACCCTCTCAAACTTTTATGGCCTTATAATACAAAACGTTGACTGAAGTTAAAACTGTTCTTAAATGATGCTGCCACCTTTGTTTGCTAAAAAGCAGACAGCAAAAGCATTAGGGTTAAATCAAGCTAGTCTAGCTAGACTTAAAAAAAACGGAGGGCGTTCTCAATATGAATGTATTTTTTTATGTTCGTTATCTCAGAGCTTTCGACTGGATGAACCGATTTCGATGATTCCAATTCTTTTTAAAAATTCTTATTCCTTTTCTTTTATATATTTTGATTCTTTTTTCTTTTTTTTTTTATTTGAAAGCTGGTACTTCCCGTGTGGTTCTATTTAAATTTGGTCTAGTTCTGTCAATGGCATCCATAAGAAAACAGTTTGTCTTTAAATTGCATTAAGTATATGTGCGACAAATGGACGAATAACTCAATATCACGCCAACGGATTTTGATTTTTTTGGAGGACGTTTTTAGTAAGATGGTCCCATATTAAATTGGAGAAAATCTGATTAGTACTTTCGAAGATAAACAACTCCTTAAATACGAACAACACACATATCTTGTTTGGTTATTTAACGAAATATGAAAGAGAGATCGCATGCCATCTACATTTAGTAAGTTGATGTTGCTCTGGCTTATAAAAAGTGAAATTCAAAAACTTTAACAAAAAATAAAAACCTAAATTTGGAAAGTGTGAGAATATTTATTTTCACGTCTTCCAAAATTATTTCATGTGGCAAAACCTACTAGAAAACAATTTTCATTTTTACAACATAGCAGTGAATCCCACAAAATGGTGACGAATATCCGCAGTAATATTAAAGTTGTTTGAACACAATATGTGCGTGATGATGAAACCTCACCAAGTAATGTAGTTTATAATACTGTAAAACCGCTAGCATCCAATTAAGCTAACGACTTAATAAGATAAAGTACCGGACACGCTTATTTCATGTAACATTATTAACAATGTATTTTTTTGCTGTACTATTTTAATATAGATGTGATGTGTCTGACGATCAGCTTGTTTAAATTGTAAATGAAAATGACCATGGATAGGGTTGCAATAGTTTGTTGATTCACGCGTCCTAGCTTTCCATCAAGTTGGTCTTGCATTTCAGTAGCAATCGGTTATAAATAAGTTATTACAGCTTGACTCTTCGGCGGCTAGGGAGGAATAAAAAATCTAACGAGCTTGAATTAATTTATATTTTAAACTGCGAAAATAAAAAAGGATAATAACCAGTCAACTTTAACAAAATACTCTGATGTGTCAGCATAATATTGTTCAAGTTACTCTATCAAGGCATAATTTTTTACACTCTTACTGAATTAAACAACTTTCACCACGCCTCGCGGGCGACGGTACACACTCGATTGGCTGTCTTCTGTGCTTTCGTCGGCGTTGTCAACAAATATAATCAATTTTCGACTGTTCACCAGCGCAATCGAAATTGTACTGGTGGCGCTGCGAGAGGCACCCGATTTTCGCAGGTCCCGTAACGGGTTAAACGGGTCCTGCGACGGACGTCCGTTCCCTGCTCCCGCTTAAGGCAGCGCATTCCCTAAATATCGGAAGCAATGTTCGCTATTCAATTGTTTATACTGAAAACTTTACACCGTTTAGAAACAGGGTTGAATTTAACATTTTTACGATATAATTTCGGACTGTTATCACTTATATTTTTGTATTAGGCCGCCAGGTTAGGAAGTGACCACTCTTGAAATAACTGAAAATGTTACAGAACTACAATAAAAATAATATTACGACTTTCCTAAATAATAACCTACATATCTCGCGTGAACGCTTATTCGGGTCAAACATTTAAGCCATGTCAGTTATCATTGAGGGCACACATGTTTTTGTGAAAAATCTGCTTTCTCGTGGCAGCGTCGAAAAAGATGAATACTGCATTCGTTTTAAAAAAGCACACTTCCGTAGCATATATAAAACTTAGATGTGAAAGCAAACGGGCGATACGTCAGCGAAGCCTCGTTCAAAGCTCCACTGCCCTAAAAAACCAAACGATTTTGAACCCATGAACTAAACAAATACGGTAAAGATTCAATTGTTTCCGATTAGTAGGTACGAAACTTTCATAGGGTCAGCGATGTATCTCCGGCATACACGGAAGTCCCTACATTCCGGAGATCCGACTACCGGAGCCGGTAAATCAATCTATCGTTTTTAGAGATCCACGCTAAAAGGTGGCATGATTTGGCGTTTTCTCGGGCATTCACTAGAGTTAATGTAGGCTACTGATGGTAGGGACTTAACCTCTCTATGGCAATTTGATCTAGTGGGAATGTCGATAAGTGTTTTTCTTCTTGTACTTATTATATATCTTCTTGTATATATTTATACAAACATACAGATATTTTCCCGAAGATGTTTCAAAGATTCATACGAACGTCGCGTACTTGGTCGTGGCGTAATTTTGTCGTAGAGGCCACTGGGCGTAGTCGTGACAGTTTAGTGCACTAGGCTTCTCAGGGTATAGCGGCAGGTCCGCTGGAATGAGTTTCCCAAGCACGAAACACTAGCGAGAATGTATTCGTATCGCCATCGTCAAAGTAGGGTACAGCAGCAAGACCGTTGGAATCAGTTTTCCAAGCGCGAAATACTAGCGAGAATGTATTCATATCGCGATCGTCAAAGTTAGAACAAACTAGCTCCTTCCATAAAAACTTTGACGATGGCGATACAAATCCTTTCTCGCTAGTATTTCGCGCTTGGGAAACTGATTCCAGCGGCCCTGCTGCTGTACCCTAAGACACCTCGCGCACTAAATGGCTACGACCACGCCTAGTGGGCGTAATGACCAGATATAAGTAAAGAATCATATGAATGTCGCGTACTTGGCCGCATTGGCCCAATTTAGATAATCTATTCACAGCGGCCACTGGACGGTATAGCGGCAGGTTTGCTGGAATCAGTTTCCCACAACTCACAAAAAAATCAACGCGTCGCGTCTGATGTTGGTTTTTACTCGCTTAATTGTAAACAATTAAGTAATACCATATGTGAGTACGGACCACAAAACATCAAATGCAAATATGCAAAATTTAAATTCCGCGTAGAAATAACTTCACTTGAACGCTGACATTCGG